TATGCATCCCTATCTCAAGCATCAGCCCTTTGTGCACACTTTTCACCATCCGATCATTAAATTTGTGGTAAACAGTGCCATACAAAAAAATAAATATTTTTTTTTTAAGTTGCAGCTTAGAAGATCATAAGGGATACACAGTGGGGGTAAGTACGTGGATTAAATACCCTGTTTCCCCGAAAATAAGACAGTGTCTTATATTAATTTTTGCTCCCAAAGATACGCTAGGTCTTATTTTCAGGGGATGTCTTATTTTTCCATGAAGAAGAATACAATACACATTTATTGTTAAATGAAAATAAATTTATTACCTGTATACGGTATGGTAGTATGGTAGTTGTCAACACAAACCAGACAAACTGTGAATCCTACAGTATCAAGAATTTACTCATTTATTCAATGACAATCATGTCATCATCTTCTGGAACATCATCATAACAATCCAATTCCTGAATTTCCTGGTGAATTTCTTATGACTCCATTTCTTTCAGAATCAGTGGACCAAATCTCTCATGCTTAGCCTGGGGGGGCCTTATTTTCAGGGGGATGCCTTCTATTTCACTCAGAAGGAAACCTGTAAGTAGGTCTTATTTTCGGAGGATGTCTTATTTTCGGGGAAACACGGTATGTCTGCTGCCAAATCTGACCCAACAGCAGGCTCTTTACTACCCACGTGTTTCCCTGGTCTCTTGCATTAGCACTACTCATGGAAGCTCTCCCTGCAATATTCAAGCCAACTCAGAGCCCCCACCCTCCTATTTCCATCATTTAGGCCTCAGAGAAGGCCCCAGCCATCTCTGTCCCACATCAAGCACCAGTGATTTCCTCAGTCACTTTACTAAACCAACTCAATTATGTCTGCACTGTGGTTGCCTATTTCTAGCAATGGTTCTTGCTGCTGCCAGCTCTGCAACAGTTGCATTCAGCAGCCATCCTCCTTATCTCTACAAGATTATTTGATAGGAAGTTGGCTTTCTCTGATTTTAACACATCCACCACCCCAGCTTTCTTTGATTCCTATTAGCATGGTATATCTTTATCTCTCTTTTACTTTTAACTTGTGTGCTTATATTTAAAGTGGGTTGCTTTTATACAGCATATAGTTGGGGCTTGCTTTTATCTAACCTAACAATCTCTGCCTTTATTTGCAGTCACTTTGCAGTCAACTGCTTTAAGAAGGTGGTGGGTGTGGTTTTGCACTTAGGAACTTTTTTTTTCCTGGCAAATTTAAAAAATCGTTGTCATTCCTTACATAGATTTACATGCTGACAGGGAGGTTGGAAATGTGGTAGTGCCTGGGGCATGAGGTGGGGCACATGAGAGACAGTGAAAACTGCCACTAGACTTTTGCAATAGTTTAACTGAACTTTGGGGTCCTCTGATGGAGATCCATTCTCCTGAAGGAAGAAACAGAAGATGGTGACGAATTGGTTATAGTCCCCAAGATTTCTCCTTCCCGGGCTCTGGGTACACCTTAGTCACCCTCTTTACTGAAATTATGCAGAGGATAAAAAATAAAAAAGTTCAGAGTGTCTGAGTTGGGAGCATTTCGTTCAGCATTTTCTTACATAGTTGAAGGAAGTCAGAAAAGTGAAATACTATGCTCAGGTCATGCCCCTAAGCTCAGCAATTTTCAATACTGGTATGCTGCAAGAGTTTTTAAAACACGCAATATTTGTCTAGTTAGTCAAGGGCACTGACCTCTTTTCCCTTAGACTATCAAATTAAAAAATTATGACAGCCAATACAACAATTGCTGTTGTGTGTGAACAAATCAAAACTCTACCTATTAATGTATCATACCAGCAAAAATGATACATTTTCTGGTGTGCCACAGAATTTTAGTAATTAGTTTATGTGTGTCAGGAGATGAAAAAGGTTGCAAATCGCTTCCCTAGCAAGTGGTAGAGCTTGGAGGAGAACCAAGTCTTTTCCGGATTCCTAGAAAGGGAATGTTACTGGTTTAACATTAACCTTTGTATTCTATTTTTTAAAAAGAAAAATATATAATTAATTTCTACTCTTTACTCACTCAAAGTTTAAGGGGGAAAAACAACAAGACAAACAAGGAAAATCCGTTAAGAACAGAATGAAACACCTAGATAGCAAAACAGACAAATTCACAGAGCAACTGGGACACACAGATAAGAGAACACAATGGAAGAAAGAAACAAGAAAAGTCAAGTTTTTCCAGGGAGTTGCTAGCCTCAACTTGTAGCCTTTTTGGAGATTGCCATGAAGGTTAGCATTTGAACCAGGAACTATAACTTACCCGGGTTTCAGGCTCAATCCCCATTGTGGGGTGTGCAGGAGGCAGCCAATCAATGATTCTCCCTCATCATTGTTTCTCTCTATCTCCCTCCCCCTTCCTCTCCGAAATCAATAAAAGTAAAAAATAAAATAAAAAGATATGTAGGAACTGTCTTCTAACAGAAACCAGGAATGTGTGTGTCAAGGGAAAGGAATCCTATGTGTTAAAGTAAGAGACGTTCTAACCCACATGTGTCAAACACAAGGCCCGCGGGCCAAATCCGTCCCGCCAGGCCTTGCAATGTGGCCCGCACCGCGCTGTCATCACTGCACTCCACTGCGTTTCCATCACAATGACAGTTTATAACTGTTCAGTAAACCATTCGGCCCGCGATTTAGGCTGGATTTTAGATTTTGGCCCCTTCTCTGATTGAGTTCGACACCCCTATTCTAACCTGTAAAGAATTTTTGTGAGTTTATTTGAGCCAAATTGTCAACAACTGCCAGGAAGCAGACCCTCAACATATTGAGATAATGCTCCAGAGAATGGCAGTTTTTCACCTAGTTTTATAAGTTACCTTCAAAGGAAGAGACATAAGTGGGTTTGCATGAAATCCATTGGTGATAGATTAGGGAGGTGGGAGAAAGCAAAGTGGGGAAACCTCTGGAATTGGATAAAAAGTAAAATGGTAGACACATGCTTCTTTTACATATGTGGGTACAGGATAGTTAACAGTCAATAATTAACACCTGAACAATAACAATGTGGGAATTGTGGTCTCTCTCTGGGCACATTGGTTGTGCCCTGAGGGGTCCTGAAAAATATAAGCTACTAGTTACCCTGACATTCCAAAAGTCTGTTATCATAGATGTAAAAAGACAATAGGCTCAGTTAAGATCAAAGTTAATCTTTGTCAGGGAAAGGACAGCCTAGGACAGCCTAGGACATGATCACCCAAATAAACTGCTTTTTTTTTTTTTAAGTGGAGGATTCTTTTAAAAAATACACACACACACACACACACACACACACACACACACACGTTAATTATTATTATTATTTTTTTTTTACAGAGCGGAAGGGAGAGGGATAGAAACATTGGTGACAGAGAAACACTGATCAGCTGCCTTCTGCACACCCCCTACTAGGGATCAAGCCTGAAATCAAGGTGCATGCCCTTGACTGGAATCGAACCCGGGGACCAACGCTCTATCCACTGAGCCAAACCAGTTAGGGCTAAACTGCTTTTTAATTTCAAGACCATCCTTTGTGGTTACTTTAGGTCTCTGAGTTTGCAAGGCTGCCATTAAGGCCTTCCCTGAGTTAGTCAGGTTAGCATGTGGCCCCTTTCCGTCCACATATGTCTGAAGGTTGTGAAGTGATCCATCTGAGGAAGGAATAGGGAGGTGGAGAGATTCAGGCCTGCTATACTAGGCTGGATTCTAGTTCCCAGAGCTAACTTTGCAGAAGTCCCTACTCTTTGTTTAAAGTAGGGGTGTCGAACTCAATCAGAGAAGGGGCCAAAATCTAAAATCCAGCCTAAATCGCGGGCCGAATGGTTTACTGAACAGTCATAAACTGTCATTGTGATGGAAACGCAGCAGAGTGCAGTGATGACAGCGCGGTGCGGGCCACATTGCAAGGCCTGGCGGGACGGATTTGGCCCGCGGGCCTTGTGTTTGACACATGTGGTTTAAAGGGTACCTGCCTAATGTCATGAGCACTTTCCATAGTTACTATTTCACTTTAATCCTAGCATCTCAAGGAGAGAAGAGAGATTTTACCCAAGGGGGGGGGGGGGCGGTTGGGGGGGTAATATTAAGTAAACAACTAATGCAAGAGTGGGCACAGATCTATAAATCCAAAATAGTGAAAACACTAGCCACTCTGTGAAGACAGACTCACCTAGCCAGTTTGGCTCAGTATCTGCCTGCCAACTGAAGGGTTCAATTCCCATCATGGGCACATACCTGGGTTGCAGGCTCAATGCCCAGGCCCTGGCCAGGCGTGTGCAGGAAGCAACCAATCACAGATACATGGATGTTTCTCTCTTGTCTCACCCCCTCCCTTCCACACGCTCTTAAAAAAAAAAAAAAAAAAAAAAAAAAAAAAAAAGGCCTGGCCTCCTAGCTCAGTGATTGAGCTTGGAACCCTGAACCAGGAGATCCCAGCTGGATTCCGGGTCTGCGCACATGGCGAGTTTGGGGCTCCATCCCCTCAGTAGGGGGCGTGATCCCCTCAGTAGGGGGCGTGCAGGAGGCAGCCGATCAAAGACTCTCATCATTGATGTTTCTATTTCTCCCTCCCTTCCTCTCTCTGAAATCAATAAAGACATTTTTTAAAAAATCAATGGGGTAAAATATACTCGTGTGAGGACTTAGATTAACGGGGGGGGGAGAAAGAGAAGAAGACTACCTCAAAACCAGGAATTGGGGAGCTCTGGCTTTTCCTACCTCACAGGCCTCAGGGGCCTGACTGACCTTTGGGGACTGCTTAGGAAAGGGGCTTATAGAATTCATTTCCCATTTCAAATCGGAAATGGGTTTCCGGTGACACGGCCTATCTACAGCACCGCTGGGGAGTTTGCTCCTCGCTAAATCCAGGTACCTCACGGGGTACTGGCAGCGTCATTGGAGCAGCTCAGCCCCCGCCGGGCTCCTCCATGGTTTTCCGCCCCGACCGGAAGTGGGGCGGAGCCTCTCGCATGTCCCTCCTGATTGGCCCACGCCGCTGTCACTCAGCGCCTGGAGGGAAAGGGCTGGGCCGAGCTCCCCAGAAGTCCCCGGAGCGGCGGCGGGGCTGAGGCGCGGCAGCGGAAGCTGCGGGCGCCCGAGCTGCTGCGGGTGCCATGGAGTCCGAAGCCTCGCTGTCCCCCACGCTCTCCCGCTCCATCAAGGAGGAGCTGCTCTGCGCCGTCTGCTACGACCCCTTCCGGGATGCCGTGACGCTGCGCTGCGGCCACAACTTCTGCCGCGAGTGCGTGACCCGCTGCTGGGAGGTGCAGACGACGCCCACCTGCCCGGTGTGCAAGGACCGGGTGGCGCCCGCCGACCTGCGCACCAACCACACCCTCAACAACCTGGTGGAGAAGCTGCTGCGCGAGGATGGCGAGGGCGGGCGCTATGGAGGCCAGCGCTCCCCGCGCTTCTGCCGCACGCACCGCGGCCAGCTCACCCTCTTCTGCATCGAGGACAAGGAGCTGCTGTGCTGCTCGTGCCAGGCCGACCCCCGGCACCTGGGGCACCGCGTGCAGGCGGTGAAGGACACTGCCCACGACTTTCGGGTAAGCGCGGCTGCGTGTGTGAGGGAGGCGGGCGGCGGCCCGGTCAGGGCTGGACCCCAGCCCCCCGCTCCCGCCACCACAGCCTGCCCCTCATCCTGCAGCCAGCTTGCTCGTGTCGCCTCAGAACCCACTCCTGGGTGACTCCAGTAACCTAGAGAGACGCCATTTCAAAAAAAAAAAAAAAATTCTGAGAGGAAGGAGGAGGGAGAGCCAGAAACAACCATGATGAGAATGGTGGATAGGCTACCACCTGCAAGCCCCCTACTGGGGAGCAAGCCCACAACCAGGGCCTGTGCCCTGAGGGGGGAATCTAACGGTGAGGTTATCTCCTGGTTCCTCCTCCTGGTTCCTCGGTCTGGGGTCTGGGCTCAACCACTGAGCCACACGGGCGGGGCTAGAGGCTGCCTTTCCCCCCCCCCCTCTTTACCCCCACCCCCACCGCCATCAAAGCCGGTCCACGGGGGCCTGACGTGGGAGAAGAGAGGCAGACAGCTGGGCTTACACGAAGGTCTGGAGATAGCCCTAACCCACATAGTAGGCCATGAACCCTTTCTGCCATCCGGGTGTGGTCCGTGCCTCTTTGAGAAGCACAGATGTGGATAAAGCGCAGGAAACCTGAAAGGAACACATATGCCAGGTTAGAGGTGCAGGAGCCCAAGGCCTGGCCGTGGATATGGAGCTGTGAGAGCCTCAGTATTGGTCACCTGCTTCCCCGGCTGGCCCATCTATTGTGTAGCTGAGGGGAGGCCTCTGGCCCTGGCCAGCTGGCTTATTCTGGATCAGCATCTCAATGCCTAGAGTGCCAATGGCTATAAATACAGGAGCAACGTACAGGGCAAAACTAACATGGGGAATATTTTTGTGTCACAAGGGAAAATGATCAGAAAATAAGGATTAGCCAACTCAGTTTTCAATTTTATTTTTTTTTTTTTACCTCAGCCCATAGTGAGAAATAGTTTCTCCATTATGACCCAGAATACTCATGTATGTACCAGTTGAAACAAAAATTCTGTGAAAATGATCATTGTACACTGGCATTTTATGTTGTATGTTTGTTTATTGTTTTATTTTTTAAAGAATTGTGCACGGTGAGAAACGCAAATTTATTTCGTCACCTATAATACATGGGTTAGGCCCACAGTATGGAGAGAACACCAGTTAGATGGTAGGAAGCTGAATGTATTGAAAAGGAGGTGCTGCAAGAATCCCCTACTGCCTGGTTTACAGACACTTTTAATTAGTTGGTTTTAATGACTTCCTTAAGAAATGTCAAAAGTTGATTATTAAACATTGAGATATCTAAAAATTCATACACATTTTGACAAAGTTCAAGTGAAGGGGAATGTCATCAGTATGCATTGAACACTAATGTGGCTGGCTGCTACCTTATTTGTTTAACAACAGGGGCATAGGTGCCAGGGCCTGATTTGGGACAGCTAAAGTAAGTGCTGAGCAGTCTGGGGCTGGGTTGGAGGTAGAGGATCAAGTCATGAGTAATCACCATGGGGCTGGCAGAGGTATAGATCAGGAAGAGGGGTCAGGGGTCAAGGCAAAGGGTACCGAGGTAAAACCCCCAGGTCTGGACTAAGCCAGATTCAAGATCAGTGAGCCAGACACCAGGAAGTATATATGATCTAATGACAACTTTCTATTTATTCAGCAGATGCCTTGGGGACAATACAGGACACAAGATAAATACTTTGTCTCTTCTAGAAGCTTCAAGCAGAGACCAGAGGAATAAGGAAGTGTTAGCCAGGTGAAGAGGGTAAGGGAGGGACAGCAGCAATGTGTAAGGGTCCCTTCCTTTCCAAGACTGAAAGCATTACAGAGTAATTAGAATGAGGATGGAGATACAGAAGGAACCGGGAGGCCCTGAGCCTTGGCATTTATCCTACAGACTATAGGAAGCAGTCTGAGGGCTTTAAGCAGAGGAAGGATACTGTCGGATCCATGGGCACCTCAGGGCAGTGTCTGAGGGGGTAGGGCGTCTAGTCCTGAAAGATCTAAGGAATGTGCAAGCTAAGTGAGCTCAGCCTCATGCAGGGTGGAGCTCATTCGTGTCTTAAGACAACTGAGTACCAAGGGCCTGTTGTGTGTTCCAGGGCCTCTTCCGGGTGCTGATGCTGTGGAGTTCACTAAGGCAGAGATCTCACCCCATGGAGTCTGTTTGCAGTGGGGGAAGACAGACAGTAAATAGACAAATTGTAGTTCTGGATGATTGAGGTGGGCGGGTGGTGGTTGTCAGGGAGCAGTATAGGAAGGCTGGAGAGGTCTGGCACTGAGGGGGTCTTTCCCTTGTGTGCTCTGGACACCTGAAAGCTTTTACATAGGGATTTTGTGACAAAACGTGTGCTTTAGAAAGATCATGTTGACACCCATATGAAGAATTCAGCAAAAATTGTATCAGCCAACATTTTGAGCACTTACTGTGTGCCAGGTGCCCTGAAGTGTCTACCTGTCAGCAGTTTTCATCCTCACAAAACCCTATGAGGTTGTGTATTAACATCCTGTTGCTGCTGTAGTAAACTGCCACAAACGTTGTGTTTAACACAGCGCAGACTTATTATCTTACAAGTCTGGAGGTCAGAAGTGCTAAAGTCAAGGTGCTGGCAGGACTCCATGCCTTGTGGAGGCAAGGAGAGGATTTCTTTCCCTGCCTTGTCCAGCTTTTAGAGGCCCCTCCTCCATCGTTAAAGCCCTTCATTCCAACTCCTGGTTCTTGTCCCATTACCTTCCTAACTAACTCTGCTACCTCCAGCTTCTAAGGACCCTTGTAATTCTATGGGGCCCACGCAGATAGTCCAGGATAATCACCCTATCTTAAAAATCTGTAATTTAATCACATCTATAAAGTCCTCTTTGCCCTATAAGGCAACATACTCACAAGTTCCAGGATTGGGATTCGCAACTCATTTTAGAGTCAGAGACACTGAGTCTCAGACACGTTAAGTAGCCTGTCCAAAGTCACAGAGAGGATACTATGGAGTTCTCCTGGGCCTTGTTCAGCCCTTACTCTGGTCATGGGCTTTCAGAGAAGCTTCTCTGGTCTATGGGTAAAACTTTCCCCTCTGGTCCTCTGTTCCAGGAGCTATGAAGGCAGTTGACTATGTGGGAATTTAGAGTCTCAGTGGGCTGACTGCCTACTCTGTCCAGGCACGGTATGTCCACTAGAAGACAGGGCAAGGTGTCCTAACCCCTGCCTTCTTGGGGTCTGATAAGCATGACTGAATAATCACGCTAACAGTTACATGGTTTCAGACTGTGATATTCCTATCGCTGCTTCTAGGCCTTTTGGCTAAGATCAAGTCCAGTATCAGACTGTGACATTCCTGTGCAGGACAATAGGATGTGTGGGCCTCTCTTATCTGATGGGCATGGGGAGAAGTTTCTCAGGAAAGGACTGATGAGCTTTCAGAATATGACATTGTTTAAACCAGAGCTTTGAAGTGTGTGTTGGATCTTGAGGGGACCTTACAAAATCCTCTAGTATTTGTACACTTATTTTTTTTTAAAATATATTTTTATTGATTAGAAAGGAAGGGAGAGGGAGCCAGAGAGAGCGAGAAAAACATCAATGATGAAAGGGAATCATTGATTGGCTGCCTCCTGCACACCCCCTACTGGGGATCAAGCCCGAAACCAGGCATATGCCCTTGACCGGAATTGAACCGGGTACCCTTCAGTCACAGACTGATGCTTTATCCACTGAGCCAAACCAGCTAGGGCTATACACGTTCTTCTTAAAGCACATGTGTCAAACACAAGGCCCGCGGGCCAAATCCGTCCCGCCAGGCCTTGCAATGTGGCCCGAACCGCGCTGTCATCACTGCACTCTGCTGCGTTTCCATCACAATGACAGTTTATGACTGTTCAGTAAACCATTCGGCCCGCGATTTAGGCTGGATTTTTGATTTTGGCCCCTTCTCTGATTGAGTTCGACACCCCTATCTTAAAGGAACAAATATTCCAACAGTGTATCTTTAAAATTATTATTCCTTACATACAAGCTATTCAAAACTAGTGTGAATTCCTCTTGCTTATACCACATAAAGATAATAAAACCAAAAGAAGTTTATAGATTAAATACACATAAAACTAAAGTCAATACAGTCCTAGTTAAAATATTAATTACAGCCGAGACTGGTTTGGCTCAATGGATAGAGCGTCGGCTTGGGGACCGAAAGGTCCTGGGTTCGATTCCGGTCAGGGGCATGTACGTTGGTTGCGGGCATATCCCCAGTAGGGGGTGTGCAAGAGGTAGCTGATTGATGACTCTCTCTCATCGATGTTTCTAGCTCTCTATCTCTCTCCCTTCCTCTCAATAAAATGTATTTAAAAAAATAAAATAAATAAAAAATAAAATATTAATTACAGGGTTTTATTTTGTTGGAACTAAAATGCTGTTTCTGGGTGGCTGTAAAGCCCCTTTTCCCTGTTAACAAAATGATGACTTGATTCACCAACCAAAACTTCCCTTTTTGCAGAATGAAACTTTCCTGGGATATAACTGTCCTTGTTTGGGTCTAACATATCCTTCACCTGTAAAGTGAATTCTGTTTTTTATTAAGCCAAGACATTGTAAGAGTATAGCCTGGTGTCAAGGAAGTTGTTAAGAAAATACAAATGCTGGCACTGAAGTTAATGGGAACCGAAAGTGTGCGTCAGCACAGCTTATCTTGGTGTGTTTTTTTTAGGTTGTCACTAAGTGAAACACTAATGTAAAACACTCATGGAAAACTTGCAAATCCCCCAAATGCTTAAACCCAGAGCCACAGGGGCTGTAAGGAGATGATTACATTTGACTAATGAGAAAAGGAAAACTTGGAGAAATACAATGACTCATGCCAGTCACTGGGATTGAATGTAGAACACCTAGGATCACAACTCAGGCTTCCTGACTCCCCAGTCCAGCCTTCACTCTGACTTACATCTCCAAAGCAAACTGCACCAAGTCCCTGGCCTCTGAACTGCCTTGTCAAGTCCCCTTTCATATCCATCCC